GGGAGGCGGCGGGAGGAAGGTCGCGCCAGTTCAGGGTAGGCCAGACCGTGTGGGCGCGGACGTCTGGCGGCCCCCGACGGTGGCGGCGCGGCGAAGTGGTAGGCATCACGGGCCCCGCCTCGTATCAGGTAGACGTCGGCGAGGCCGTCTGGGACCGCCATGCGGACCAGCTCCTGCTAACAGCAAGATGGGAAAAGCAGCAGCCGACCGAGTCAGCTCCGCTGGAGCCGCCGCAGCAGCATCCGACCGACCCTGCTCCCGGCCGGCAGCAGCATCAGATCCCGGAGGCTCACAGCTCTCTCGGGGAGAGAGAAGAGGAGGAGGAAGAGCGACCGGCACCGGCCAGGGAGGAGGCAGGTGGTCACGACCAGACCACCACGGAGCCGGAATCAGCTCAACAGAACCGAGCTCCTGACGGGCCGGACGCCGAGTACCAGCAGACGGGGCAGCCGCGCGCCGTCAGCGCGCCGCCCCTGCGGACGGGGCAGGCGCACACGGCCAGCGCGCCGCGTCACGAGACGCAGCCGCGCCGATCAGCGCGCACCATCCGACCTCCGCTGCGTTTCAGCCTGTAGGGAAGCTCCAGTATGGGGGCGGAGGGCGTTGTATCGTAGCCTCGACATCATGGTTGTAGTTCATGGGCGCACCGCGAGTGGCGCCACTGTCGGGCGTTGCGGGGCAGTCGGCCCGGAGCCGCCGTGCTGTGCGTTTGCTTGTTCACACCTTGTAAATGGGACTCACGTTAACATCAATAAACAGTTGGGAGACACAACAAGAAGTTTGGCGATGCTCACTGGCTTGCGGTCCTGTGGAAAATCACTCGAAAAAAAGAAAGCTGGAACCGATCTTGAAAGGGCTTAAGGAGATTAAACCAAATGCCAATAATTCTGAAACACCTATCTGTACTGTTTTTTCTGTTCCATTAAATCCCCGCGCGGAGACCTCGTCGCCGCCGGCCTCCACGACCGCTGCCTGTGCGGACGGCCCGCCGTGCTCACACCGAGCGATAGTGAGGCCACCATCCGCCAGTCCAGCGTCTAGAACGAGCCCCGCGGTGGTCAGCTATAGCTGTATCCCATGTGGTACGGGCGACATCCGTCCGGAAAGTCTGCCGGGTGCGGGCTCACCGCTGGCACGGATGGTTTCTTCGCGCTCATGGCAAGCATCGTCTTGACTGCTGCGCTACCTGACGTTCGTGGGAAACATTCCGCAGGCTTTGGCCACAGTCGCGTCGGATTCCAGGGTGGGCATGTTGGGCGAGATATTGCGGCGCGCGGCGTACTATCCGCCGCGGGCCACATGCTGTTTTTTCAATGTGCCAGTACGGTTCTCGTTGCGTTAGGCCCGAGTGCTCATTCTGGACATGCGCGCCAGGACGATCAGTAGGTGGCGGCCCGTTAAAAACACCGACCCCACCGGGTTCAGAAAGTGAGACAGGCACCTTGTGGGGAGCCCTATCGGCCTGGCGCGTCGACGGCTGGACACTCGACGTCTTCACCTCGCTAAAATGTCCTCGCCGGCGGAGGAATCGCCGACCCTTCGGCGATTCTGAGATCCCGGCCCCTTTTTCTCTTTTTAGATAGTAAGGAACAAGCGTTCGGTAGGTCTTTCGAGTTAACATGCTCGCACCTAAATTCTGCTGTGCTATATGTGGTGTCGTTTCCAAGTCTTATTTATCAGTAATTGGTCTTAGACGCCATGTACTGCGCTCAAGCTCTTAACCTATATTTCAGACCCCGCGTCATGCGGCAATATACATGCGTTGTGCGCCACCGAACGCCAACGATATGAAAGGGAAGCCGTCACTAAAATATAGGACGGCTACCGTACATGGTAGTACATCGCATCCCTCTTTTCAACATATGTGCACTACACGCTAAAGGTCCAGGCGGTCGGGTTTCTTGAGAACTCGACCGCAACGGGAAGTTGGGATGTTTGGCGGTTCGTGGTCTGGTACCGCTACTGCTCTGGGGCTCGTCTGAGCGCAGGCAGCTCGTGGAGGTGGGCTGCTTTGCGCTGGCACCGTCCTGGCTGGGGTGGTGTTGTCCAAGCGAGTTGGAGACGGGCTGAGGCTGCGCAGGTGTCGCCGGTTCCTCCGATAGACGGCGCCGTTGGCCGCTCTGATGGTGTACGACCTTGGTTCAGGCCGCTGGTCCACGACGGTCGCTGGTTCCCATCGGCCGCTCTGAGGGTGCTGTACGCGGATGGGTTGTCCGGGAATGAGTGTTGACAGCTCAGTCGCATGTCGGTCGTGGTACGCCTTTTGGGTGGTCTGGCGTTCCACCAGGCGTGGCAGGACGTCGGCCTGCTCTCTTCTCGGTCGGGCTGTCATGGGCAAATTTCCCTGGACTTTCCGACGTTGGAGGATTTCGGCTGGGTTTGGCAGGTGACTGTCGATGGGCGTCGTCCGCAGGGTAAGGAGCGCCATGAGCACGTCACTGCCGCTCTCTAAAGCCTTCTTCATGGTCTGCTTCGGCGTTTGGATGGTCCGCTCTATGAAGCTGTTGCTCTCTGGAAAGTGTGGTGAGCTCGTGATGTGCTCGATGCTCCACTCCCTTGTGAAGCAGGCGAACGACTCACAGTCGTACTGTGGTCCGTTGTCACTCCTGATGGTGTCTGGGATGCCATAGTCCGCGAAGATTTCCTTCAGAGCGTTGATGACTGCTTTGCTGGTGCAGTGCTCCGGCATCCTCCTTACGATCGGGAACTTCGAGAAGTAGTCTGCGACGGCCAGGTACGTTTGGGAGTTCAGATGGAAAAGGTCTGTACCGATAATCTGCCATGGGCGCGTTGGCAGCTCCATTTGTGTCATCGGCTCCTTTTGTTGACTCCTCATGTGCTTTTGGCAGGCTTCGCACCTTGCCGTCTCCCTCTCGATGTCTCTGTTAATGTCTGGCCAGTAGACACATTCTCTTGCTCGCAGCTTGCACTTGACCCGTCCTTGGTGGCCTTCATGTATTTTTTGCAGGATTTCTTCCCTCATCTCTTGGGGGATGACGACTCTCTCCCCCTTCAGGACGAGTCCATCTTCCACCGCCAGTTCATCTCGGTCGGAGGGACGGAGGCAGGCCTTTTCGAGATCCAGGCCAGCCTGCGACGATGACGTCACGGAGTTCCGTCAGCGTTTTGCCGCGCGACGTTTCTTCCCTCAGCTCTTGGAGCTTTCCGGCACCGAAGTGCACGAGATGGATCTGCAGGTCGAGCTCAATGTGGCTGTTTTCTGCCGGCGGGAGGCGCGACAGTCCATCTGCGAGTAGCATCTGCTTGCCAGGTTTATAGGTGATCTGTACGTCGTAGTTTTGCAGACGCATCAGCATCCTCTGAAGTCTTGGTGGTGCTGCTCGGAGGTTCTTCAGTTGGATCATCTCAAGTGGCTTGTGGTCGCTCTCGACGATGAAGTCGTGGCCGAAGAGGTACGTGTGGAAGCGTTCGCACCCAAACACGACCGCCAGGAGCTCTCTTGCGATATTCGCGTAGCGCTGCTCGGCTTCTGACAGCGACTTTGAGGCGAACGCGATGGGCTTCCCGTCTTGCACGAGGGCGGCTCCCAGGCCTTTCTGCGAGGCGTCGACTTCCACTCGTGTCGGCTTCCTTGGATCGAAGTATGCCAGGGTCGTCTCCTTGCAGATTCGGTTTTTCACCTTTTGGAAGGCTATTTCGTGGGCTGATGTCCAGCAGAACTCGGCTTCTTTCTTCAGCAGTCCTCGGAATGGTTCTGTTGCATCTGACAGCTTTGGCATGAACGGCGGCATGTATGTGATGACGCCCAGGAACTCTTGAAGTTCCTTCTGGTTGGAGGGCGTTGCCATCGCTTTGATTTCCGTGACCTTGTCAGGGTCAGGGTGCGCTTCGTCTCAGTCATACGTGATGCCGTAAAACTTGATGGACTGCTGCTTGATGGCGCACTTCCTGCTGTTGAACGTCAGTCCGTGTTTCTTGGCGACGGTGAACAGGTGGTGGAGGCTTGCATCGTGGTCGGCTTCGTTCTTGCCGAAGACAGCCACGTCGTCTGCGATTCCCATTGTTCCAGGACATTCCTCCAGGATCTGGTCCATCTTGCGCTGGAACACGTCCTGGGACATGACCAGGCCGAACGGCATCCGGAGGTACCTGTGCCTTCCGAACGGGGTGTTGAAGGTAGTGAGGAACGAGCTCTGCTCATCAAAGGTCACCGACCAGTAGCCGTTCTTGGCGTCCAGCTTGCTGAAGACGGTGGCGCCTGTCAGCTTGTGCGTCAGCTCCTCCGGCGTTGGTGTCTTATGGTGACACCTTTTGACACCTTTTGACACACAGGCCTTGTTGAGGTCCTTCGGGTCAAGGCACACTCTAAGAGTTCCATCGCTCTTCTTGGTGCAGACCATGCTGTTGACTCAGTCTGTAGGCTCTTGGACCTTCTTGATTACACCTGTGGTTTCCATCTCGTCCAGCTGCGCCTTGAGTTGCTCTCTCAGGTGGATGGAGAACTTCCTCTGTGCGTGTATTACAGGTTGGGCGTCTTCCTTCAGCTCGATGTGATACTTCCCTGGGAACTTGCCGATCTTGTTGAACTGGTCCGGGTAGATTTTCACGAGGTCCTCAACCGTGTTCACCTTGCTGTCTGTGGCTGTGATCGCACAGTGCAGCGTCACCAGATTCAGCGGGCGGGAGCTTGGCAGTCCGACAATGGCTGGTCCTTCAGTATCCACCGCAAAGAACTTGGTTGGGGTCCAGCCGTTGGTGCCAAACCTGCGGGCAGTTCCATGCATCCATGCTGTTTGATGGTGGTGCCATTGTAGGCTGTGGGGATCACATCTGATTTCATAACATCAGCAGCCCGTGGCATACCTTGAGCAGTCAGGGAGTGAGGGAACATCTGCTGGTACATTCTCACAGGCAGGGTGTTGCCTTGAGCACCAGTGTCCACTTTCACTCTAAGGTTCACCAACAGTTTTTGTTTGTCCAGCCTTGTTCGCAGGTAGGTGAATGCCTCATCTCGAGTGTCTTCACTCACTGGGTTTGCACCTGCTACTTTGAGACTGTTGCTGGTCAGCTGACTGAACGGATCATTTTTGCTGATGGCATGCACTGGCCTGTTTTGGCTGTTTTGTTGTCTGCGGCTTGGCTGGTTGTACCTTTGATGCCTTTGCTCCTTGTTGGTTCCGTGACCTTGGTTTGCTGTCCCTAGGCTGTACATCTAGAGCCTCCCGACAGACAGTACTCCAGTGGTTCAGCTTTCCACACACCTTACATGTTGAACCAATGGCTGGGCACTCTTGTTTGTGAAGATGAGCTTTGTAGCCACATCTGGTGCACGTTTTGTTACCTTTGTGGCTTCTTTGCACATAGTGCACTACTTGGTTGGCATCTTTGGACTGGACGCTCTTCACTTGTTGCATGTGCTGCATGGACGCTTCATGTGCGCGACCCACCTCCAGCACTTTGTCCAGGTTGAGAGTGTTATCTTTGCTGAGGAGCTCTTTCTGAACCTGAGCATGGCATGTGCCGATGACAAGTTGTTCCATGACCCTTTCATTAAATTCCTGGTCCTCCCTGAAGGCACACTTTTGGGCCTGGTGTTTGCATCTGGATGCAAAGTCATCAAACGACTCACCTTCCTCCTGCTTCAGGCGTTGGAGGAACAGCCTGGCCACTCTGAAGTTGGTCTTAGGCTCAGCTTGGGTCTGGAACTTGTCCCATACCTTTTTGGGATCCTTCTCTTCCTCTGCTGGGAGCCCCCATGAGTTGCAAAATCTCAGGCCTGGCTCTCCTGAGAACAGCAAGATATGGTCCGCTTGTTTTTCTTTTTTTGATTTCTTTCACTGAGAAGAACAGTTCACACTTCTGCTTGAAGAGCTTTAGGGCAAGGCTTTGGCCAGCAGCTTCCCAATCCTTTTGAGGTATGAAAGAATCAGACATTTTCTTGTCTTCTGCGGCGATTGCGACGTACGTGACGCGCACTATTGAAGCCCTTAATTTGGCTTATCGCAGCTAGATATTTCTTCCCTCTATTTTAGATTGTGCTGCAGTTGAGCCTAAGACCAACTTCAGAGTGGCCGGGCCGTTCCTCCAACGCCTGAAGCAGGAGGAACAGCCTTCTCAGTACACCAGTCTCTTCGGAGGCGTGGGTTCGAATCCCACCGCTGCCACCATGTGGTGTCGTTTCCAAGTCTTATTTATCAGTAATTGGTCTTAGACACCATGTACCGCGCTCAAGCTCCTCATCTATATTTCAGACCCCGCGTCATGCGGCAATATGCAAGCGTTGTGCGCCACCGAACGCCGACGATATGAAAGGGAAGCCGTCACTAAAATATAGGACGGCTACCGTACATGGTAGTACATTGCACTATATGCCGTGATCTCTTTTAGTGCTTACTTCCCATCGCAGTTATCAGCATGTCTAATATATAAATATGTCGCTAATGTGTGTTGTTCTTTGACGTGCCCACCCCGCCTGTTATTTGGCGAACAGTATATAGGAAAAAAGGCAGATTAATGAGTAATGTGCGCCCTGAGTTGTGTGCCATGAGAGGACGCGTCGTAGTCAGGTCCATGTTTACATGCCATATTAATTATCTTGCATGGCTCATATGCTGTGCACAGCTTGGGGCGACTCTGGATTTTCCACGGGTGTAATGCAATAATTGTTATCACAACGGGCTAAATGCGTCACAGGTGCTCTGCGTTATGACTCCTCAGAGCCGATGAGGGATTCCGGCGTGCAGAGGTGTGATTCTGGCGATTGAGGATAATACGCTGGGGGGAATTCCGACGTGCCGATGAGGGATTCCGGCATCATTTTGTGACGAGAGAAAGTGGCGTGTGCTGCTCGTGTTAGGACGACAGCATCTGTTTCATAAAAGCCCATGTGATGTTGGCGCGCCAAGGTTTTCGCCACCACTTGCGGTCGCTCCCTGCTAGTCGGCTTATGATAGAGTATTGCCTTCATGCAATTGTCTGCAGATCAGTACCGTTGGCCAATTAACCAGCAGCCGTCATTAACAATACGTATAATTAATCTCAGCAAATATGATTATTACCCGTAGACACATTACTCCCACGGAGCCGTTTTTCCTCTCGTGAGATCCATTATTCGTAAGTACAATTGCCATAGTATTCGCCTACTATGTCGCCAGGTTGCAAACAATCGTGAACTTGGCGGCCAGAATCGTCTCGGGGCCGTGACATCCCCGTCTGCGTAAATTAGGTGTATGTGGTGGCGTCTTTTGCGCTTCGGGCACATTACTTCTTTATTTTGTTCGCTCCGCGTCTTGATTTCACTAATACATTGTTGCGTTCATCGTTTTTACTTTATTCTTCTTGCTTTTACTTACTCTTGTTATGTTGACATCTAGACATTTAACGGGGCTTTGAGTTACCCGGAGAAAAGATGACTTACACTTTGCAAGTTGATGCGGCCAAGCATTGCAATGAAATCAACGTGGAAATTGAAAACGCTCGCGTGAAAACCACTGCAGATATGGGAGGCCGGGTTATTAGACCGCACTCATGCCAATAACGAAGAAACTGTTGGTGGTGGGTGCACATAAGTAAGCGGCCAAAGGCGTAGAATCTAACGGATAGTATGACAATGTGCCGATTACAGGTTTGCATGCGTAGCAGATAAGAAGCTGACTAGCGCGAACGGCTGAACCGTGCACGCGCGAACTGCTGGAAACAGCCAGGCTGAATATTGGGCTATCGTCGCATCAGTAACAAGAATATCATTGCTGATGGGCGCATATATTCGTACGCCTATCACGCAAAGTTAACTGTCAAGTATGAACATTCGTTTTGTGGGCTTCTATTCAGCAAAGCCGTCAAGATTCAGTCGTCTTTGGAAGCGAGTGCGTTGCCTTCTGGCTGCCATGTCAAGCCTGGTGATGACGGAACGTCTGTGGAGAGTGGGGAACAAAAAACATAACTTTTGCCCGTCCTTCATGTGCATTTTATGTCCATGCGCGTGGTCCCTCCCATTTTGTTTGTAGATTGCTTGTTTTTTAATCTTCCACTTCAAAACGTCAGTCTTAGTGCAGCCTGTCTCCTCTAGATTCCAGTCAAACCCTCCAATCCTGACTGTTCCCGCGATCTCAGAGTCGTGATCACGGCATCCCAAGAAATCCAAAGGGCATTCCACAGTGCGTTATCTTAAGCATGCTTCTCAATGCTTGTTAACTTTTTAATGGCTCCGGCTCATTCTTTCTCTGTTCCGTTTTGCTTTAATGTCGGCAGCACCGAAGTCTTCACGCATGCAACTTTCGTGTTACGTACGTATTTGTTATGCTTGCTGATTTTGTGTCGCCTGCCCATCGTGGAGTTCCTTCCTGAGCGCAGTTTGTGGGGGTGATGGGTGCACAGTGGTTGGGACGATGTGCACTGGTGCCGTTTGTGCTCAACCCTGCATTCTGCAGGAGCACAGTTAACTCCGACACCACTGAGGTTGACCAGGAAAAAAGCGATCCAAAGAACCTCAAAAAGTTGTGAATAACTCTTTCCATTCGTCTTCCTGTCGCCTTCAGCATGGATACAATTTGACAACAGGGCGACACGAAGCTTTCCACGTGTTTGTTTTTTGGCCACAGACACGAAACTTGGCAAAAGGCAAAAGCATTCAGTTTATTTTGTGACAGTAAAGTCCACTTCCATGGCAGTGCATTTGAGAAGCAGGCCGGCCGGAGAGCTCCGACTACTACGATACGGCAGCATCCCGTGGCTAAAGATACCCTCCACCTCAACTCGGCTGAGTATCGCAATACAATCGACCGCTTCACAGGCGGGACCGAATGGTACCAACTAAGTCGACAGCATCTCATCATGTCTCAGCTACGTCAACCAGTCTGAGCCAATAACACTGTGTTCTCGCCACCGCATACAAAAGCAGCTGAGACTGCCTTGTCACCTTAGAAGCGGTCGAGTAATCCCATATCTCTTCTCCAGCAACACGCTCGTAAAGAATACGACATTCAACATGCCAGAACCGCACATCCCACGAAGGTTCATTATCAATAAAAAATGTAATATATAGAAACACATAGAATGGCTCTTTGCATTACACCGATTTCTACAAGGCTTTCAGAACTACGTTGGATTTAAGAAGAGCTCCCTCACCGTGCTGCTTGCCTAGATAGACAGCAGCTCTGGATTCCACCGCGGTCTCAGCACACGACCTCAGAGATGCCGTACGCCCCCCGTCTCGTTTCCAGTTCTAGCGCATCAGCTCCACGTTCGGTGCCTCAAGAGAGGCGTTTCGCGGCTCATGAACAGCCCTACAGTCTCGTGCTAATCCACCGCGCGGTTTTGAGGTGCGATTGGCCCCACATTACCCTCGCCCCTTGGCATGGCGTAGCCCAGCCGCTTCGACGCCACTCTCCTGGCTGGCACCGGCCCGCTCCGGTCGGTGCGTCTAGTCACCGCCGGAAGTCCGGTCCTCCGCAGCTGGCCACGTGTCGACTTCGGCCCGCCAGCGCTCCTCGCGCTCACGGCTGGGCGTCGTAGCGCCAGGCGAGGCCGGCGTGTCGCACGCCCAGCTTCATCATTAGGCAGTTGACGATGAGCGAAGTCCAGCCGGTCTGGTGGGAGGCGCCGCAGCCGCGGCCCGAGTCCCCGTCGAAGTACTCGTAGAAGAGGACCAGGTCGCGCCAGAACGGGTCCTCTGCGTACTGGGCAGAGTTGCCTACCGAAGGAGGGCGCGGGTTGAGGTGGGAGAGTGATTCCAACTCAGGACAGTTGACAGACGGCACTCGTCCTCAGACTGTGAGGTCTAACGTGTCCGACAACCAGCCTAGCTTGAAACGCAGCGATCCGTAGTCCGTGGTCTCCAGCTAAGCGCATAGTTGTGTGGTCGGGATTTGAAGAGGTAGTGGTAAGCACGGCATTTGGTCAGTTGTTATAGCTGTATGCATGTCGGATTGATCTCACTGTGCCATTCTCATCGTTTTCTAGGTTGTATCATGCCAACAGCTTTGCGTATCATTAAGCTATTGGTCACCATGCAATTGCTGCCTCCTGCTGGGATCTGGCCATGATGTGGCAGTGTAGCCTGATCGTGACGTTTAAATGGGACCGTGACGTTTAATGGCATCGCGACGTTTAAATGGGACCGTGACGTTTAATGGCATCGCGACGTTTAAATGGGACCGTGACGTTTAATGGGATCGCGATGTTTAAATGACTTTTTGGTTTAATCTCACATCTGACGCTGATCTCGATCTCACACATGATCAGACTTCTCATGCATCTCTCTCATGACGCTTCGCTGGTATCTTCCAGCGATGTTTTGTTGAAACGTGGCGCATGACATCCCGCTGAGTTCACCATATTATCAGGTTATGTCGCCGCACTATTTCGCTCCGCTCTTTCAACGACATTACGCTGTGCCTTACCTAGATATTCTGTTCGGATGTCACCTGGCATTCCTCTAGGATACCTCACCTTACCTCGTGCCGCGACCAGATTGTGACACTCGGCTGAGACCCAGCACGCCACACCGGGCGTCCTCTCACCGTGGCAGGGCCGGCGCCCGTCCTCTCCAGGCACGAAGAGCCGGATGAGGCGGGCGGCCAGCTCGCAGGCCACCTCGCGCAGCGTCAGCTGCCGTCCCGAGCCGACCGGACACTCGACCGTCAGCCTCTTGCCGTAGAAGAAGTAGTAGCGGTCGAGAGCCTCAATCAGCAGGAAGTTGACGCACAGCCAGATGGGGCCACGCCAGTTGGAGTTGCCACCGAACAGGTGCGTGTTGGACTCGCCAGACACGTACGGCACCGAGTACCGCTCACCGTTTAGCGAGATCACAAACGGGTGGTCCTGCGGGAGAGTTGCCTCAGTCAGGAACGGGTGGTCCTTCGGGAGAGGTGCCTCAGATCATGAACGGGTGGCCCTTCGGGAGAGGTGCCCCATGCCACGAACGGGTGGTCCTGCCGGAGAGGTACATCAGTCACGAACGGATGGTCCTGCGGGAGAGATGACTCAGTAACGAACGCTTGGTCCTGTGGGAGAGGTGCTTCAGTCACGAACGGATGCCCCTGCGGGAGAGGTGCCTCAGATCACGAACGGCTGGTCCTGTGGGAGAGGTGCCTCAGATCACGAACGGGTGGTCCTGTGGGAGAGGTGCTTCAGTCACGAACGGATGCCCCTGCGGGAGAGGTGCCTCAGATCACGAACGGCTGGTCCTGTGGGAGAGGTGCCTCAGATCACGAACGGGTGGTCCTGTGGGAGAGGTGCCTCAGATCACGAACGGGTGGTCCTGTGGGAGAGGTGCCTCAGATCACGAACGGGTGGTCCTGTGGGAGAGGTGCTTCAGTCACGAACGGGTGGTCCTGTGGGAGAGGTACCTCAGATCACGAACGGGTGGTCCTGTGGGAGAGGTACCTCAGATCACGAACGGCTGGTCCTGTGGGAGAGGTACCTCAGATCACGAACGCATCGTCCTGCGTGTTCCAGGCGCCAGACTGAAGGGAAACGTTCTGAGCGCTTTGAAATGTACTTGGGAGATGCATGCGCACATTACTTTACGACGATCACTTCAAGACAATGCAGATATTTGTTGACATAAGGACGTGTTTTAATATGTTCACGTAAGGGTAATCAATATATATATATATATATATATATATATATATATATATATATATATTATATGTATATAACACAGCTATATCTCCACAGTACAAAGAGCCATGGATGTTATTTGCACTCATGGCGTATCGGATGCGACTCCTTTACTTAGTGGATAGGGTAATTTGTACAACTACAAGGCGAACGTTCCTGTGTCCCCAAACTGAGCGAAGCATGTTTGGAACTCACGATTCGATGTAATTAGAAGGCGAGCTGGGACAGTCTTTTGCGCATCAAGCTGCACATTTATGCCAGGCTGGACTCGCTGAGTTGACCTTTACCGGAGCTGATCATAGCACATGCAGGTATCACCCGTAACCCGCCACTGTCTCGTGCTGGCCACGTGAGGTACTTCCATCCTTGGGAATCGCCACGTGACGTAGTTTTACCGTTGGGAATGGTCACGTCATGTGCTTTCATCCTAGGAAATGGTGACCTAAGCTGAGATCCCACCTTGTGCTTCTTCGAGAGGGAGCGCACGCCGTACGGGCTGAGGAACTCCTCCTCATCCAACAGGTAGCGCAGGACGCTGACCAACTGCTTCTCGGTGGGAATGCCGAGGAGGAAGTTGTCCAGTCCGTCCTCCGAAGACGTCATGTAGGCCACCTGCCGGTGGGACGCCAATGGCGTCAGACAGCTGCCGGTGGGCACCCAGTGACGCCAGACAGCTGCCGGTCGGTGCCCAGTGACGTCAAACAGCTGCCGCTCGGCGCCCAGCGACATCAGCCAACGCCGTCCACAGAGCTTACGATGTTGTGCGCACGCGTGGCGCGTTGGATGCGACTCTCTTAATGGTCAGGATGCCTTGTCAACTATGGTTGGATGGCGATAGTGTAGTGGTTAACGCATTTGCGTTAACCACTGCGCGTCTGGGAAAGCAGAGGTACGGGGTTCGATTCCCCGCGGTGTCCGCCTTTCCCGCCAGCGTGAAAGACGGGCGACGCCGAAAAGCCTCAGCGGCTGATTACGTTATAAATCCCGATGACAACAGCATCTACAATGCAAGGCAACAGTTGCCCCTAAACTGAGCCGCCCTTATCACTCAAAAACCCAGCGATACTATTTTGGTCGAACAAACGTTCGCACATTCAGCTATGTAGAACACACTTTCTGTGCCTCGAGTACCACTTCAAGTCCACCTAAACAACATCACATCCGTGACCAGTCATCTCTTTCAGTCTCGTACCCTTCCAAAGAGGTCCTTTCGGTTTTGCATGAACCACTGCGTGCGCTTCCAGAACCCGGTGAGTTTCCTGACGCGCGCGCCCTCGAGCACGAGACAGGCAAAGAGCGGGATCAGGCCGACCATCGAGCGCACGCGCAGCGGGATCGAGCAGCCTGACTCGGTCCGGATGAAGTCGTAGTAGAAGCCGTCCTGTTCGTCCCACAGGCCTGCGGTGGGAGGCGAGCATCAGTGACCCAGAGGTCCCTGGTTCGAATCTCACATATATTTTTCCAGCCCCACGCGGTGTCAATGGGAAAGGTCGCGACGCCAATGACGCTGACAGATACATTTATTTTTTACCAACACAATTAGTGCCGTTCACCTTTTTGCATCTTTTGGAAATGAGTGTGATAAAAGCACGTTAATATTACCACTTGCTTTTCTAGTTACAGCGTGGGATGGAAGTTCGACATCATGCCCTGGATTTATCTAGAACGCCGGGCAATGATGCATTGAACCACGATTGAAACGATATACTGATGGGAAGTGCCTCCCTTCATTCATGAACGATGCACTGTCGAGACAGATTCTTCCCTCCTCCGTTTCGGACCTTCTCCCTGTCCTGCGCTGTTGATGGCATCCATGATGTGGATAAAGTGCTCGAAGAACTTGGACGCCATGTCCTCGTAGGTAGCGTCCACCTCCGCCAGCTCCAGGGCGATGTCCAGCATGACGACGCAGTAGAAGGCCATCCACGCCGTGCCATCCGCCTGGCAGCGGAGAAGACCGGAGTTGGAGGCTACTGAGCACTCTGGGGTGCAGCGGCGAGGGCGGACATACGTTTAGACCGGAATAGGTAGTATCCGGTACAGGATACATATCAAAATAGCCCAATTTTAAAGATAAAAGCGTGGGGCTGCATATTTCCTCGAACGTTAGGGAGTGTCCACGGCTTCGATTAATACGGCCTTTGATCAGGGGCATCACTGGGCAGTATTAAGGAGAATACATGACTGATCAAGACAACGTGCACGCAGGCGGAGACGGTCGGGACGGTGGGCCGGCCCAACGGTCATTAGATGCCGTCATCTCTAACCTGCTCCAGCTGTCCGTGGATGGGCAGGGGTTTGGAGCGGTCGAAGATGCCGATGTTGTCCAGGCCCAAGAAGCCTCCGGAGAAGATGTTCTTCCCCCGCGGGTCCTTCCGGTTCACCCACCTGGATCATAATGATGAAAGCCGTGGTGGGATACACACACACACACACACACACACACACACACACACACACACACACACACACACACACACACACACACACACACACACACACACACACACACACACACACACACACACACACACACACACACACACACACACACACACACACACACACACACACACACACACACACACACACACACACACACACACACACACACACACACACACACACACACACACACACACACACACACACACACACACACACACACACACACACACACACACACACACACACACACACACACACACACACACACACACACACACACACACACACACACACACACACACACACACACACACACACACCACACACACACACACACACACACACACACACACACACACACCACACACACACACACACACACACACACACACACACACCACACACACACACACACACACACACACACACACACACACACACACACACACACACACACACACACACACACACACACACACACACACACACACACACACACACACACACACACACACACACACACACACACACACACACACACACACACACACACACACACACACACACACACACACACACACACACACACACACACACACACACACACACACACACACACACACACCGATGACCTTTTTGCTTTTCACAGGGTAATCGAACATCGCGTGCTCACCAGGTGAAGTTGAGCATGAGCTTTTGGAAGCAGCGCGCCAGGAACTTGGTATCGCGCTGCTTGCGCGGCCCGGTGCCCTTGAACACCTTCCGGACGGCCCAGGCGTGCACCGGTGGGTTGACGTCGTCGAAAGCGAACTCGTACGCTGCCAAACGGAAGCCTGCGTCGTCAGGCAGCTCCGCACAGTGACAGGGCGTGCGGAGCTGCAGCACCGCGGACGCTCAATCGCTTACGGCCGGTTACGACGTCGCCCGGATGGAGCGGTGACCTAAGAAGTGTGACAAACAATTCATGAGACATTGGTAGTAGCCTTATTCCTCATAGAAAAACCAGAAGGATGGATATATATATATATATAAATATATATATATATATATATATATATGTTCATGTATCTAAGTGCGCTTTTACTAAAAAGAAAGTTGCGTTTCTCCTCCGTTCTCTTCCACGAGGGATAAGGCTGTTGCTAGCATCTTATCTATATGCAAAATGTTCCTCGCAAATGCACTTAGCATCTTGCATAAAAGGATAGGAGTTTAATAAATATCGCGACTCCAAATGCAACTGGAAATTTGCTCGCCGCACGTCCGGACCTCTGCGGTCGTTTCGCCATCAGTTTCCCGGTTCGAGATGGTCATTTCAAACGGTCGTGCTTTCCCTCTCTCTCCGTTTATATATATCCGTGCCCACCTGGTATCTGGCCGTTAGGGTGCATGTACCACTCCCGGAGAAAGAGCATAAGCTGACCCTTGGCGAAGTCCACGTCCACCAGCGCGAACGGCACCATGTGGAATGCCAGGTCCCAGGAGGCGTACTGCAAGGACGTCGAGATGGCTCAGGTGCAGGTGACAGGCGGTGGTCGGTGGTCGGCCAGTGGCAGCGGGGACGAATTACTTACGTCACTCGAAAGCGTGAATTCTTTATAAAAGTTGCAAAGTAAAACATGGGTGATCATGGCCCATGGCTGACAAGCGAAGATGAGCATTGTTACGGGTTAGAAGCATGAGAATCGGTAAATCTCTAGTCTGTAGCGTCTTACCAACGGCCGGCGTTTTACAATGGTTCTTTGAGGGATGCTTTCTTTAATGTTTGCTCTATCGACGAAATGCTGGTATATTAAAAATAGGATGTGCTCTAAATTGCACATAGTCGTGACCGGTCTAGCTTTTTCCCCGCGAAAGCTGTTCCGACATAACTCGCCTTCGCTCACTACCAACGACCGCCACGGCCGCCGCTACCTCCAGGGTGCTTCTACCTTACACACCCCAGGGGACCTTACACACCCCAGGGGACCTTACACACCCCAGGGGACCTTACACACCCCAGGGGACCATCGTCCCTACCCAGGGTTAACAACCCCAGTTCTCACTCGTGGATACTGCCCCGCTCACCCATGGGTGAACGCTTCCACTGCGGTCCAGAGGCACAGCCCCGCTCACCCAGGGGTACTCCCACTTGTCGGGCATGGAGATGACGTCACGGTTGAAGAGGTGCATCCAGTCGTTGTTGCGGCCCCGGCGGCGCTCTGGCGGCGGCGGCGGCTGCTCGGGGTCGCCCTCTAGCCAGTCCTTGATGACGTAGTGGTAGAACTGCTTCGTCCAGAGCAGGCCGGCCAGGCCCTGCCGCGCTACGTTTGTCTCCTCAGCGTTGAGCCGCGCCGGAATCGCCCGCGCGTAGAAGGCGTCCGCCTCCGCCTTCCGCTTTGAGAACACAGCGTCGAACGGCTCCCCCAGCGACGGTGACGCGGCCTCGTCGTCCTGGGGGAGGGTGGGGATCAAACACGGAGTGATTTGAGTAATGCGGAGGCAGGACGGAATCTGACGATTAGTTGTTTGTCCCAGTGTGGTGACGAAAAACTACGTCATGGTGGCGAGGCCTCTCGCTGGTCAGGCCTCGCAAGATAGGATATATATATATATATATATATATATATATCAGGATCGTCTTTGCTCTTTTGCTATCGCCAAGCACACGGTTAACATGTGAATTGTCCTGAGAATGAACGATCAGCATTCTTTCCAATTCCCAACGGACCTGGCGGGACTGTCAATGGCCACATCATCCCAGGAACAAGATGGCTTAGTGCTAAAAAATATATGAAACTGAAGCACGGCTAGACCGAGCTTCGCGCAGTATTTGCTGTCGCAGGGATTTTTTCCGGATCCTTATATTACGTGCAACAATTTCGTGTCGAGTGCACCGTGATGGTCTTATGGGCGCAGATATTTGCGTTGGCTGGCGCGCTCGACAACAGAACTATCGCTGCATGGCAAACATGTTTTAGACATCCTGGCTGACGGGCTCTGTAAGTTTAGCTTGGTCACTGTTGTATTCACTGGTGGCCTTACGCACACATGCAAATGTACGCCACCTTAAGTGGCCCAGTGACTGTGCGAAGTGGTATGAACAAAAGTGGACGGTAACGTTGTCAAGCCAAGATGCTTTGAAGGCCCTTCCCTGTTCACAACGCTGGGGCGTCGGTGGGACAGTCGGTGCACTGAAGTAAACGCCCATAGAACAACCGGTGATCTGGAGTGGAACTCGGTGAACCAATGTTTTAGGCTGGGTTCAAAGTGCGGATATACTGGTGAGTCGGCAATCACATTCAACCGCTTTGAAGTATATGCTCCCAAACTATCATCGATGTGCCATTCACTGCAGCAAAATGCGCGGAAACACTGGTGAGTCGGCAATCACAGTCAACCGCTTTGAAGTAACTATCATCGGTGTGTCATTCACTGCAGCAAAATGCGCGGAAACACTGGTGAGTCGGCAATCACAGTCAACCGCTTTGAAGTATATGCTCCCAAACTATCATCGGTGTGTCATTCACTGCAGCAAAATGCGCGGAAACACTGGTGAGTCGGCAATCACAGTCAACCGCCATAAAGTATGTGCTCCCAAACTATCAGCGGGGTGCCATTCACTGCAGCAAACCATTATCCGTCCAGGGACACTGCGTTTTTCACATCAGAGCATTTCCCCTCAATATGCACTAAAACATCAACGTTCCAGGCAAAGAAATAGACCAGCAAAGTTGACGGCAAGCATACACGCGTTGTATAGCGCGTGTCCGGCTTACCTGGAACAGTCGCGAGTCGAGTGTGACGCTCTCCCCGGCCTTGACGTGCAGCACGTAGTGGGCGCCAACCTTCGTGCCGTGGCCTTTAGGATTCACACAGTCCTTTTTACCTGTGTATGAGAGAAGCAAGGAGAGACCGTCGGTCAGTGCTTCGCCGGTCGAAAGGCGACAGTGCGAAGCATGCATCGAAACCCGACTTGTTCGGTTAAGACCAAGTGATGGCGCATCTCATTTTTACGAAATGCTTTGAAACATGAATTCGACACAACACATATGTCTACAGACCTGACAATAGTCTCATGTATGCATGATCAGATCCTTCAAGTTCGATTGACGAATAGCTATGCATTTTTAAACATCCAAATGGTAGCAGCCTGTAACACCTACCCAAACACCTGCCCACATCCCCTTTCGTCGGTCTCTGGTACATGACCTGGTTTGATATGCCTGTCACAATCTGCCACGAATAGAGTGAATGCAGAAGACCACCTTGGTGGAGTGGGATGGGGAGGGGGTGAGAGATCGTCGTTATTGTGGCTTTATAAGATACTAAGCCATTGAAATTATATGGCGTCGCCGCCTCCCACCTTGACAAGAGGGGTGGGGCACTGCGGAAGTCAAACCCCGCCCTAAAAAGGGGAGGGCGGGGGGCTATGCGGCTAGTGGCTTCCGCTTTCGTTAGCATCACGAAGCATTCTAAAACGGACATCCCATAGCAAAATTTTGTTCGATTTTGCTTTAAGTAAAACAAATGTGTCATTCTTTGCCCGCCTTAACTCGCCTCGGGTCCACCAAATGATAACACCCCCTTCAGATTGACCCCCCCCCCGCCATCAGCTTACCGTTTATCACATGGTCATGGAATGAGTCCTTGACGAAGGGGGTGCGGTTCTGCCCGCCGTACAGGCGCTCGAAGTTGGTCTCGTTCTCTGTGAAAAGCAGCTCGGGCGAACGGCCGTCCACGTCCGCCACCTCCCAGTGGTACGGAAGCAGCGTGTCGTGGGTGCAGCGCACCCGGCCAGGGCCCTCGCGCGATATGCGTGGCTTCATTGTGCACCCTTCGTGGGTGCAGCCCCACGACCAGGTGTTGCGAAACCTGCGGAGGAGGGTGGAGACACGATGAGGAAGGAAGGCCGCGGTACTTGCGAATCGACGATTAAATGTGTGAAGTGAAACTGGCCGCGGCAGTGGTGAGAAGCTGCCGATTTGCGTTGCTGGCATGGTGGCTCCTTTACAATACTGTCATGCCTATGACATTGTGAACTACTATACTGCTACACCGATTACACGTTTTTTTACAACAGATTTCACTTCTTTCACGACTTCAAACGCCGCCCGAAGGTTAGGGTGACCACATGGAGGCCGTCTATCAGACGAATCCTTAGTGAGGGAAAAT